CCACCATGCCCTGCTAATTTTTTCTACATACATTTTTAGCTGTCCAATTAATTTCTTTCCATTTTTGGTAGAGACGGGGTCTCGCTCTTGCTCAGGCTGGTCTCAAACTCCTGAGCTCAGAACGATCCGCCGGCCTTGGCCTCCCAGAGTGCTAGGATTACAGGCGTGAGCCACCGCGCCCGGCCTCTCATGCCTTTTAGACTATTGAATAATACATATTCTTGAGTAGCCTTGAATTTAAAAGTAGGTTGTTTTTGCACTTCCTATTTGTGCATTTTATTGTCTGTAAATTTTACCTTAAAAGAAAGACAAAGAATATTGAGCTATACTTAAAGAAGTGTTTAGGGGTGAAGTGTATTGATGTCTGCAGCTTACACCGAAATGCATCAAAAATGAGATGGCTAGAGGGATGAATAGATACGTGATAAATACAGTAAAAAGTTAAGTTTAAATCTAGGTAGTGTTCACTGTACAATGATTTAATTATTTTGCATGTTTGAAAATTTTATAATAAGATATGGGAAAAAATTAAGATGTAAACCCACTGAGGAAAAATTGGGTTGTCTCTAGTGCATTGTTAATAATTTGTTCTAAGTTGTACTTCCTGAGCAGCTGCAGTAATCTTAGTGCTGTGCAATATGAAAAACAGACTAGAGACTGTCCCTCCCCCAAGAGCTACTGGTTGTAAATGGACAAAGATAAAGATTCTCATTTCTGATTGGCCTCTTCTCTTTTTCAGGGTTATACATAAATTTCCGTCACCTTTATAAACAGCGCAGACGGCGCTATGGACAAAAAAAGAAAAAGACCCACTAGAAAGAGAGATTTAGATGGCTTCCTGCCAGTTTGAGCCTAATCTATGATTCTTACAGTTTTACCTTCTTGTACCAATGTAAACGTTTTTTTAAAGTTAAACGATTAAATTCTCAGTGAGGCTATCTTCCTTTCCCCAGTAACATTCCTGAATTTACTGTATTATCTTAGTGTAGTACTTGCATGACATGGATTCCTGATACCTGACAGGTTCATTCTCGTGTATTCAGTTAACAACAGCAAAAGGCTCAGCCCACCCCCACCGCACCCCACCCCACTTCCTGTCCAGTCTGTCTGTCTAGTACCTGCCAGATACTCTCTCAGTGCTCTGTCTTTACAGGGTACTGACCGTTCTTACAGTTGGGATTTGTTCTTTTTAGCTATTGCTCTATAGAAGGCTGGTAAAAGTGACTCAGGCAGGACCTAATACATTCTGTACCCAAGCGGTTACTTGTTTAGTGGGGTGGCATTGACTTTTTGAAAATCAAGTAGAGTCAGCCATTGATAAAACATTTCTAAGAGTGGGGCTAGAGAACGTGTTTTACGTCAGAATCTGTGAGCCTAACGACATCTGTTACTACGGTGCTTAGCAGCGTGGGCCCTGGAGAGGCACAGGATGATCTGAGAGAAACCAGTCAGCACCTTGGGACACTGTGACCACTTCATTCCTAGCTAGACCAGAACCGTTGTCAGCACTAAAGAAAGATGAAACATTATTTAGAAAGCAATGAAATTATGAGAGTAACAAACGCAAATGACAGCAGGGGTCAGAAGGGAACACAAATACGTAGGTCAAACCAGCAGTCATGCAGCTGCTGGCAGTGCAGCCTGTGACGGACTGGCAGCATCAGAGCGGCCCGGTCCTGCCTCCGAATTCTGGCTTGAGCTGTGCACAAACAGAAATGTGTCGTTGCCCTCCCCTGCACTGGCTGAGCCCATTTACTCGTGTATTTGTCTAGTAGGGGTGGGACTGTACATTTCAAATAGACCTCAAAACCCTTGCTTTCACTCTGCTGTTGGTAGACTGGCTTTTTTACCTGTCCGCAGGAAGACACTGAAAACAGAGTGGGAACTTTGGGTGGAGAACCACCAGCTGATCCTTTAACAGTGATTCTGGGCAAGACACCCACCAAAAGGGGAACGAAAACAAATCTAGACATATAGTTGGCCATTGTAAAAAAAGTTTCCTCTAATACATTCCAAGTAAACCAAGTAAAAGGTGTTAGAAGTTACACCTGTATAAAAGAATTTAAGGCATAAGCTCTTTCTGTTCTGCCATTCCCATTGTTCCTGGGGGAAAGGAGACCCAATGAGTTAATGCTGTTTCACTGAGCCCAAACTGGAAACTTAGATTGACCTAAAACATCTAATTAGCATAGGCAGGCTGATTTTAAAAAAATTCATTGCACTGAAGGATATTTTGCATGTCTGTACCATCTGTCAACACTAGTTTGTATTGATTTCTGATGTTCTTTCAACTCTGTGTAATTGGGCCCATCAGCTTTGCAGTAGATCGTGCTGCATCCTTGTGGCAAAATTCTATATTCTCAGTGATTGTTACACCCCGCCTTTATGCTGTCTGAGAAAGTGAAAGGTTGTGTATTTCTATTAAAACATTTACAATCAAAATCCTAATAATTTGTGTCTAAAGATCATTTAATCTAATGGTTTTCCAGATGTTAGTGATAAAAGTCCTTTGTTCAGGTAAAATATTATGTGGCAGTTCAGCAC